AATTGCTTCTAAGTATTCTTAAGCAACTCGATGGACTAAGTTGACACAGGTAAAAATGTTGATTAGACAAGTCTCTAAAATGACTAAATTAGACTCTTTATTCGGAAATTATATATACGAGCAATAGTATCACCATCCAACCACCTCGGTCCTATAATATATGTAAGGCTGCACGTATGCTCTAATTTCTTAGCTACGATGATATAACATTAATGGGAAATGTTATTCGTACAGACTCATTTGCACAGAGTCTGTACAGATGCTCTCACATGGGGGTGGACCCCACACATGGGGTCCACATATAAGATCCACCCCCATGTGAGAGGCCCTGTACAGACCCTGTGCAAATGAGTCCGTACAAGGAGTTTAATCCAATATTAATATATGCGATGGAAATAAGCAATAAAGATAAGGTTTCCCATGTCTCTCTCAAAGCCACAAATAAATAATATATATATTTGATTAATATTTAAGACTTGCATACAATGAAAATTTTAATTTATTCATTTACTATGAGAGTGTTATACAACATCGGATTTCGCGAGTGAACTCATGTTGTCATACAAACAAATGCAGACATCACATGTCCCATCTTACATTTCATGAAATAGATGACAATGGTTCAGAAAATAATATATTTTACAAATCTTATTCAATAAAATAATTAATAATCATAATCTGTTGAAGAATCTTGATTTGGACATATTCTACAAGAATCATATACTATCTTCACAAGAATGTCAGTGAATTTTTTACTTAATTTGGACCCAAATCCCTTCGCTTGGAATATCTTGATGAACCACAAATAAGAGATAGTATCCGCTTGGTGCAAGATTGACCGAACTCGGTGTCAAAATTCGAACTCGATACGAGGATTTTCCAACGACCGTCACATTCCCGGATAGCACAAGTAGCCGTTGGTTCATTGCAAATGAGTGTGTAGTAAATGAGGGTGCAACCATAGTTACTACGACCAAATCTTTATTTAACATGCCCGAAAGAGTGAATTGAACATCTAGTAATTGTCTATACCCAATTATTGGACGTGAAACTGGTGAAACTATACGTGGGCGCATATTCGCAGAGTCTGGATTCAAATATGCTGGCGAAAATTGTTCCAATGTTAAATCTGTTGGGAAAGATACTCCAGTAAAATTGTAATAAATATGAGGATTGCTACCACCAACAAGTACTCGACCATCACGAAGTAAAATCGCGGTGGAGTGATACATCCTAGGTATGGAACTTGGGTTTTGAACCTCAAATCTTGACCCAATTCGATTCTCGGGTCGATAAATAACAGGTGCTAAGACTTGATCTCGACCCAATTCCCAACCTGCCGTACCCTTAGATGCTCCATTAATGATCAAGACATTGCCATTCGGAAGTAATACCATATCACCCATGACCCTAGCTAGAGGCATGGTCTCCATTACCCAGACAGGATTAGAGTCCGTTATACTAATTCTTCCGCATGTATTGAGGGCCCCAACAAAATTACCATTTAGGGCATTAATATATGCTCCCTTTGGTGCACCACCACACACCAACACGTCAGCACCAATAGCTTCTCCTTGTAAATTCTTCAATGGAAGTAAAACTGCAGAACCTGTACTAGGGTAACTCCGAGGATCACCGCCGGGCACGGCGGGATAACTTCTCACCACCACCCCCTTCGTGTAGTCGAACAATATAGCTCGATTATTCGCGAAAATAAACAAATTTCCATCCACATTCAGAAACACAAACGGATACAAATTGTTTTCAATTTTTGGATCATTTGTCTGCACCAGGAACGGCAAATTATATGCTTTCTCCGCCGGTGATTTTTTTGGGTAAAATTCGTAATTGAACTGCCGCCGGCCACCGATTATAATTTGCCGGCCGTCCGGCAGAATATGATTGGTTGCGTACCATCTTCTCTGTGCCAGGCCATCTTTGATTTCCTGCCAATCACAAGACCCATCAATACAGGGTTTATATATTCTAACGGCATGGTCGCCGTCGTTGAAGCCACCGGTTTGTACCAAAACTCCGTCCGGCATGACGGCGGCGGAGGAGCACCAGACGTCGGTGAGCACCATCAGAGGGCGGATTGAGTTTAAAGCCACATCGTATTCGACAGAATGAGCGGTGCAGTCATTTTGCAAAGCGGTGTCGTTTGGGTCGTTCCGGCACTTTCCATTGGGCAATGAAATGTTTGAGGCCCCAAAATCTGTCCGATCGAAAATGATTACTCTGTCGTTGTTGAGGAGTTGCATGTGCATGGCAGATATGCCAATGTTGGATTGGAGTAGGTCCCAGTTACCCGCAGCGGCGCGTGTATATATTATCCGGTGACATGTTAGCAACAGGAGTATAAGGAGCTGCCGGAGAAGAAAGGGAAGAGTAACAGTTGGATAATTTGGATTGATGTGATGCATTTTGCTTTGGATGTTAGTGGAGAAGCTGTGAAGCGGGGTGGGTTTGGTCAGGTTATAAATCCTTCTGCCAGTGGGGTTCAGAAGCAAAAATTACACGCAACCAAACGCATTGACATTATTTTTCCGGCTAAGGTTCCTTTTTTGTTTTTTCTTTGGATGCCATTCATATTAGGATAAAGCTGTGTGCACACGTGTACACACAGCTTCACACAATAAGAGGAGGGTTCACGAATATTTTATTATGCGTGGATCTCCCTTCATGTGAGGGGGTGTAAAGCTGTGTGTACATCATTATGTACACATAGCACAACCCTTCATATTATTATATCTATTAGCCACATTTCCAAATCTTTCAATTTGTTGTATTTTTTTTTTTTACTTTAATATTTTATTTGTGGCAATCATGATCTCGAACCTTTTTTGTGCAGTTGAAGAACCTCTAGACGCTTTTTGTGATGCATCGCACACGCCAAGAGAACCAAATCATTTTTCAAGTTCCATGCCTTCTTGAATTAACAATAGCTTGAAACAAAAGCTTTACTTCTAAGGTTTTGAGGCTGAAAAGGCCAAGAAATCAAAAGAAAAGTTGAAAATTTGAATCTGATTAATCTATCAAGATTGAAAAAGGACCAACCATTCCCATTATACCAATGTAGATAATTCAGAAAAAAAAAAAAAAGATAAAAAGGGATTGCAAGTGAGATAAAGAGAGTTGCAAGTAAATGATCGATTTGATTCCCTCTTAGTTCGCTATTTATCTGTCTAGTGTTTATTTTTCTATGAATTAAGATAGGGGGAGATGATGAACTTTTTAGTGAAATCAAACGAAAAGAAATCCACAAACATTAAGCAAGATCTAATAAGAGATCATCGAGTGATCTCCTAAATTTCCCTTTTGGGTTTGGTGTGAGGATGGGAAGGGGAAGATGATGAAGTATTTGTTTTCCCCGTTTTTTTTTTTTTTTATTTTTTATTTTTGTGGAATGTGTAAAGTTGTTATTATTATTATTAATTTTTTTTTAAATGGTCAATTGATTAAAACAATTTTGGATTGAATTAGTTGTACATATTTGGTGTACATCAAGTTTGTCACTACAAGTGTTGTCAAAATATATGTTATTGATTGTTTAAAGTGCTGTGAAAATCAATATCTAAAAAAAGTCATATAACAAGAATGTCAAACTTAGCCCATGTTTGTTTCCCTTTCTATTTCCATTAAAATAAAAAATATGATCGTTATCTATCATATCAAGTTATCAAATTTGAATTTCTATCTTTTGTGTGGAACCCGCAACGGTTATATTTTTCATTCTCATTCTTCAAAAAATGAGAAACAAACGGGATTATTAATATAAAACTTAGTGTACGTGTAACTTGATTTGAGTAATTTTTCATGGTCAACTGACCGTCTAGAGACCCTCTGATTGCAAACGTAAAATATTTGAGACTGCGACTGCAAAAAATGAAAAGTTAAATTATAGTAGCATTAAGTCGAAAAGGTTTACAATCGTTACTCTAATTATCTCTTCTTATTGTTCAGTGACCTGGCTGAGTTTCGTGAAAGTATTTCATAAATTAATTATCATTTAAAATAAAGAATAACGGGGAATTCGAGAAAAATAATCAGATTCGCTCGAGAAAAGCCAAAGTTATATAGGCGTTTTAAAGTCATGTTTGAATGTCTTTAATGTTGGGAACACTGGATAGGGTGTTACCTATGACATCTAGGGTTTCACGACCACATATTGACCTGACAAAGTGAAGCTTATGTGATATTAATAGGACATCTTTAAATGCTGTGTTGGTAATTACTAATTGGTGACATAAAATTTTAGAAAATAGACCGTAGCTGGACATGGTCCAAATAGATCGTGTTCGAGTAACTATTTGTTGGAATCGATCAATATTCGATTTTCTTATGTAAATAATCATTTTAATTGTTTTCAATATCACTTGAAAATAATAATCACATTTTAAAAATAAAATTTAGCTAAAGTTTTATCGATTTGATTTGAACTCTTATATCAAATTGTTTATTCGACGAGCATTCTCAATATTAATTTAAGTCTTGAAAAAGACTTGAATCTTCATACTTTTTAGCACGAGATTTTGAGTCTCGTATGTCTACCATTTCACGATCAATACATCTTGAAAATGAACTATGTCTTTCTCATTTTCGAAAATGAAGTGGAAGAAAAATTTATCTAACTTAATGATCTTAAGCCAAAATTAAATGGAATTGCAACAATGTAGAATCCCTTGTCCTAACCTGTATGTGTAGGAATAATAAATAAAACTTATTTTACATGTTCACAAAATTTGACTCAAGATCTTTATTAAATGGTTAGATTCACTTTAAAAAATATTAATCACATAAATATCATGGAATTATACGTGACTTGAAACTTGAATTTTTATCCGAACAAAACTACTTCAATCCCGTTCTTGAATCTTAAACATTATTTTTCAATATTTGAGCTTCTTCTGTAGGGATGGGTCTTGCTCTAATCAATTTTAAAAATTCATTTTTTTTTTCTCAAATTTATTTTTAGCCATACACTTTATGAAACTTCCACTTTTTATCATCTTTTCAATGAAGCAAATTTATCAAATTTTATAAAAATTCAACCTCCTTTTATCCAATTTTCTAATCAAATAATAAAGCGCCGTGACCGTCCCGAATTTCATAATACAAGCGTCTTAATCAAACGGCTCATCTGTCTCTCCCCCACGCAAAAATCATTCAGATCCGATCTTTTTATATCCGATCCAAAGATGTCGTCAACGTTTAGCGGCGATGAAACGGCACCGTTCTTCGGTTTCCTTGGCGCTGCGGCCGCCCTAGTATTCTCCTGTAACCTCATCGATCCATTCCTTACCGTTCCAGATCTAAGGCTGTAATAGTAATTTCTTGTAATTATTCGTTTTTTTTTTTTTTTAAATTTGTTGTAGGTATGGGGGCGGCTTACGGTACGGCGAAGAGCGGCGTTGGAGTGGCGTCGATGGGAGTGATGCGTCCGGAGCTGGTGATGAAGTCCATTGTGCCGGTGGTTATGGCTGGTGTTTTAGGTATTTATGGATTGATTATTGCTGTGATCATTAGTACCGGAATTAACCCTAAAGCCAAGTCTTATTACTTGTTTGATGGCTACGCTCACCTTTCGTCCGGTCTGGCTTGTGGCCTCGCTGGTCTGTCTGCCGGCATGGCCATCGGAATTGTGGGGGATGCTGGTGTTAGGTAAGCTTCTCTTATCGTCTCAATATGTCCATAGGCAATTTTCCAGGCAGCACAATGATTGTCGATTAAGGCTTTAGCTGGTAGAGAGGATCCCGGTGTATACATCTGAATTTTGTCTAGTGGATTGATTTGTTGATTAAAGGCCAAACATGTACATAATTTTTCATAAATGGGTGTCACCGAGAATCCCTGTCTTTCGCCTGGCTATGAAATCATAATATCTATTATGAGCAAAAAAAGCGGCTCAATTTGTATTCATTTAAATCTGCTTTAAACATAGATATATGTTGTCTTAATATATAAAGCATAAGACCAGCAAAGACGCTTGATTTGATGCTTGCAATTATTGACGAAACAAAATTAGTTTTGATTTATGAGATACTTATGATTCGATTGCTCTAGGTCCATTTTTGATGATTTTTCTTGATAGTGAGATATTTAATATGATATAATTCTGTTCATCTTTATTTTGATTAAGTGAATTTTGAATATGCATAAATCATTTTATCCACCAACCTTTTAGAATGTCTATAATCAACGTTCCTGCAAAATTAAAGTCTAAGCTATAACTAGTAATGTAAAGTGGATTAAAAGAAGCAGATAACGAATTTAAAAATTATTAATCACTGCAAAAAGGATGCTAATCATGGTAAGAACTATAAGCACGAGACGTTGCAGAACTCAAGCTATTGATGAATTTTGCTTGCTTTGACTAAAAAAAAAAAGAAAAAAGAAAAAGAGAAGTATAAGAAAATCTATTGAAAAGATAACACAACACCAACAAGATTAATATATAAGAAAGAGTACCAGTGTAAAGTTACTTGTGACATTCCATAGTCACTAGATGTTAAATGTTGTGAGTTCGTCTTTAAGTGGATCACTCTTTGTTATTAGGAGTAGAGGGCTAGAGTATGCTTGAGCTCTTCACTCGTCTAATTACCAATTATTTTCTTTTAGTTTTAGAGTGAAGTTGTAATTAAAATAAAAAAATAACTCCTAAAACACCCCCAAAATAATGTTATTTAAGAAACAACTGAGGAGCAAGACAAAGGAGCACATGCCTTAGCCCTTCGAGATTATGCCTCGTGGCTTGCACCTCTATAATTCAAGGTATAAGGCTTCAAAGAGTACAATCAAAACATAAGCTTTGAGGTTTTTAAATGAACTCCTTGCACGGTTCGTGGTGCAATGCACAAGATTTTTTCTGTATGGTTTTATTTGTGGGGGAACTTGGAAGAAAATTGACCAATGAATTGAATGAAAGTTGTGTTTAATACTTAGAACTTACAAGTAGCTGATTGGATGAAAGTAGTAAGCTAAATGTTATTTTTCTACTGAAGATGTTTTCCACAATTATTCTGTTAAAAAGGAAAAATGTAACCAACTCTCTCGTACTCTTTTTATCATCTAAATGATACTTACATAGTGATAGATACATTGGTTCTCCATCATCTGCATCGTGGAAGCACACAGGATCCCTTTTTTGTTTGCTTCCTCTGTTGTGTAATTCCAGATTGGCACCTGTCATTTTTCTATTCTGATTTCCGGATGTTTTCTTCAGTTGGGTTCCTTCTTAGCTTTGATATATTGATCTATCATCTGCATCAAGTATTTCAAGAAATTATTGGCTTCATTCTTTCTGTATTTTGTGATCATCTCTTTAGACATCATAATATTGTATCAATTACTGACTTTATTCCTCTCTTTTACAGAGCCAACGCACAACAGCCAAAGCTCTTTGTTGGGATGATTCTTATTCTCATTTTTGCGGAAGCTTTGGCTCTTTATGGTCTTATTGTTGGCATTATTCTCTCTTCTCGTGCTGGTCAGTCAAGAGCAGACTAGGCGAGGGCATTTAGCTCGAGACTACGGTTTGTTTCTTGGTACGAAATGGTCGTTGGACTACGGCGGATTTTCTTAGTTTCGAGCTTTATATGTGTGTGGCAATTGCCAGGCCATAAGTTGGCAGTTGATATGTACTGATGATAGATGTAGATGTATTCTAGTTCTCCCTCCCTCCCCTAATAAAGTTGTTTTTGAGTACTATATTAATGTGGTGTCTTGCTAGACCCAGATTTGATTTGTGTAAAACCACTGTATTTTGCTTTTGCAAGTTCAATCCACATTAGTGGTATTTTGTTCGGATATATGCTTAAAATTAAGTCTTTTCTTTTTTTCCTTTTTTTTTTCCCTCCTGTTCGAACTTGATTCATGGAGTTGCTATTTTTACCGACAAAACTTACTAAAAAGTTAACTTTAAAGCACAATAAAAGAGAGTGGCGAGTTCGATATGGTGAATCGAAAGGAAAATTTTTATATGTTTCTCCTAACTTTATTGGACATGTCGAAGCTATTGAACATTCTTCATTCCAGAGAATTACGTTTCATGGCAGCCTTTGGTGCCCGAAAAGGTTTCCCAGGAAAACGTTAATCTATTGAATGGATGAATAGGCCATTGAATGCTTTACAAACCGTTGTCTGGCTATCAAATTATAAGCGGTTACAAGTTATTTAACCAATTTGATTTTAATTTAGCCCTCTGTTTGGGCTTAATTTTAAAAAAGGGAAAAATTCATAAATCATGTATTAACTATGCACAATTCAAAAATCATATTTCAAGTTTAACTAATACAAAAATCAGGTTTTTATCTAATTAGTTAAAAATATTTATTAATTAAATATAATAAAATCACAATTATATAATTAATGGTCGTTTGATAATTTGTTTTGTTCTTTTGCTGCTGTTGGGTATTTCGGTTTTATAACTTTTTAACTTTTAATAACTTTTCTGTTTTATAACTTTTTAATTTTTAATAATTTTAATCCTACTCAGTACTCTCCTTAAACTATAAATCTTTTGTTAGAATCATGTATAAATCCACCCTTTTTTTCATTTAAATTTTCACCACCTATGACATATAAACTTAAACCTGATTTCATTCTATAAAGTTACTCTTGGCACTCCCTTATAAAAATTTTAGATTAATTTATTCCTTTTCCTAAGCATCTTTAAAAAACATCAAAAGGCTCACTCTGGCGAACAGTTTTCTCTTATCTGGGTCACTCAGGATTAACCTAAAAATAGTATGACTTCTAGAAATCAAGTTATGCTTTTATTATATACATAGGATGAAATGATTTATCAAATATTTACATAACTAAAGATGCATAAAACATTAAACAAGGATTTATAAATTCATCTTAAAGGATTTACAACTAAGGATTTTCCTTTCGGGAAATCCCTAAAGTTCTTAAAATAAAACTTAAGAAAACAAAAGTACCTTAAAATATTCACAAGAACTTCAGCTATACAATGATTTTTGGATTGAGAATTTTTCTGTAAGGAGGTTTCAAAGGGTTTTTTGGATAGCAGTGATTACACAAGCTGTAAACTCCTGCCTTAACCAAATTAAACGTATTTCTTATATAGAGAAATTCTTGGGAGCAAAAAGTCTATTCTACCCTTAATGGGAAAGGCACTCACTCCACCGAGAAGCTTCTGGCCAATCAAAAAAGTCTCTTTAACTATTAGTGGAAATCTTTCTTTTGTAAAAGTTTTCCACTATGTCGGGGAATATTTACTGTTTTCTCTTTATGTCTTGTTGAAGCATCTGTTTTTTAAAAGTTCATTGTCTTCTTGCGTCGGCAATCTCATCTTATCTTTCCATAGCATTTATGATATTTTGTTCTGTTGTAGGTCAGTAGGTGAAAATGACATTCCACTGTCTGAATTATTGAATCCTACATTTTCTGAATCTTCTTCTCCATTATCTGGTTGAGATTTGTCTTCTTCATTATTTTCTCTTTGTAGATTTTCTGGAATCTCTTTTTCTTCTTCATTTTTCTTTTCAAATACTGTCTCAAAAACTTGTTTAACTGCTTCTCTAATTTGTTCTTTTAATTCTTCATCATTTTTCTTCTTCTTAATTTGAATTTTTTTCTTTCTTCTGGATGAAGTTCCTTCTTCTTTTTTAAACTGTTTTTAGAATTCTTCAATTTGAGAGAAAATCTTTTCTAAAGAAACGGCATCTTCATTTGGATTTTGAGCATCTTGAAATAATATTGGATCTTGACCGTCTTGAACAATTGTCTTACCCTTGTCTTGGTTAGAATGAATTTCTTGGGTCTGAGATGAACTTGGATTACCAAGATAATGTTCTGGTGGACTATATTTGACATAATAATCAAATTTACCCCTGGGCTGGCCCAATAAATCATAGATTTCTTTTTCTTTGTTTGTAGTAGATTTATCAGTCTGCTGTATCTGATTTTCTAGTCTAGTAGAGGAATCAACAGATCTTTGAGTCTGTTGGGTTTTTGGCAAGTCCACAACCTTTAATGGGTTTGATAAGTCTTTATAAGTTACCGCTTGAACTAGACTAGCTATTGACTTCTTGGACTCAATAGTACCTCTAGATAAACTGAGCTTTAACTCAATTATCTCTTTTTCAAGTTCTGTGATCTTTCTTTGTAGTGAAGATCTTTGTGTCATGACAGTATGGTTGGATTCATTAACTATACTAAAATTTTTCTGCATGCATTCACAATGACTACAGAAAATATTTTTGTCTTTGCTTGGTGAGAAATCAAGAGGGGGCTTTGAGTAATTTCTGAGTGAAAGGGAAACAAAGGAGTTAATTCCAATTATCTGTCTGGTTGAATCTAAAGCTTCTTAGAAATTATGAAAACCTTTGTAAAGAGGAACTTTAAAATCTTTTATGCAATCTACTACTTTTAACCATGTATGAAAAACACCAGGGTTTTTGCCCTTGACTATTACATAAAATTTAAACTTATTCTTGTTCTGATAAAAATGTTATGAAAGTGCATTTAAACATGCAAGAAAATACTTTTGGTCTTTTGGATTCTTATTATAAGATATCCATAAATTGTCTAACAAACATTTTTCTTCTATATTTAAAGAAATATGCTATAAAACTTTAAAAGTAATATTACTATTAGGAAAACTTATCAACTCTTGATTACGAAATCTCATTCGTTCTTGGTAAGATGGTCTGTTTTGAGTAGATGAAGTCTTTATCAATGCGTTTGAAGCAAAAGAATTCCCTAGCAAAATTCCTGGTCTTGGAGGTGGTCTTGGCATCTATCAATATTAGAATGAATTAATTTCAAAATAATCTTTATTTTCTATCATTCTACTTAGAATATCTGCTATTTTATTATTAGGGTTGGACAAAACTCCCGAATCGAACCCGACGATTCTTCTCAAGTTAAATACCCGAATGAATATTTGAATTAAGAACCGACGGGTATGGTTCAGTTCTCGGTCCTAGATCAAGACCCGAAGAACCGAATCTCTGTAATTTTTTTAATTAATTTATTTTAAATAAGTAAAACTATTTTATTTTTTCTAAATAAATTTGTTAACTAGTTAATTTAGTTCAAACCACAAAATATGATTTCCATATTTCTAATTTTCAGTTCAAAATCAATTTAATCAAATTGACCTCAATTTTATCCAAATCTGTTATTCTACTGTAGTGTCGTTTCTACCGGAGAAAATCGAATTAAAACTCTACAGCATCTCTCTTAATTATTTTGAACTCGCTATCTTTCTCTTTCTGTGATTTTAATAATCAAATTTATGAAGAATTCAACAAAGAGAGACGTGTAACACATAAGATTGAACTACGTTATTTTGTAAGAGCTTATATTGAACATATTATTAATTAAATTAACGTAACTTTGTATATTTTAAAAAATTTAATTATAATACAGAACCGAACTGAACCAAATGGAACCGAACTCGAATGGTTCCGTAATTAAATATGGACCCGATGGTTCCACTTACTAAATACCCGAAAATTTTGGGTCGGTTCGGTTCTCGTTAGAATCAAACCTAATCGAACCGAACCGGACCGGACCATGTTCAGCCCTATTTATTATCACTACATTTTATATGTTCAAATTCTATATTAATTCCTGTATTAGTAATCATATCTATAAAATTAAGCTATCTTCTCTTACTACTTTTCTTGGAGTCTAACTTAAGTTTATTATAAAAGGAAACTATTGCAATACAATCTGTTCTAATAATTATTTCTTTTTTATAAATAATAAAAAATTCAAAACTATCTAAAGTATAATTTACAGCAAGTAATTCTGCATCTATACTAATATTTCCTTTTTCTCTATAATGTCTACTATTATATTTACAAATTCTTTCTAAACTTTTATCAGAATATTTATTTAATTTACAAAATAAAACTGTACCCCATCCTAGTGAACTTGTCTCAATAATTAAAAAATCTGTATCTGATGGCATTGTTAATTCTGGTAAATTTTTTATCATTTTTTTTTATTTCTTGTACTAATTTTACATCTTCTTGGTTAAAATACCTTTGTCCTGTTGGTGAGGTTTTTGCATATAAAGGTCTTGCAATTTTTCTTAAATCTTTTATAAATGATCTAGCATAATTAACTAATCCTAAAAGCTTCTGAATTTGTTTTAAGTTTTCTAATTTATCTGGAAACTCTAAAACTTTTTGAGCTATATGTGGTTTTAATTTAATTTTTCCTTCTCCTATATTTACTCCTAAGAAATCTATATATTCTTTAAATAAAACCATTTTCTTTTTACTAATAATTAATCCATGTCTAATGAATTCTGAAAAAACTATCTGTAAATGACCTATGTGTTCTCTTCTATTTTTACTAAACACAAGAATATCATTTATGTATACTACTACAAATTTATTATGCTTATTAAAATATTTTTCATTTTCCTTTGAAAAATACTTGGTGCATTCTTAATTCCAAATGACATAACTAACCATTCAAAATGACCTTCTAGACATTTAAATACTGTCCATTTTATACTATCCGGATGCATCTTGATCTGCCAACATCCTGACTTTAAATCAAACATATTAAAAATCTTACAATCTTGAATCTTTTTTATTAAAACTATTTTGTCTGGTATATTATATGCATCATCTATTGTATTGTCATTTAGTCTTTTATAATTTATTACCATTCTACTCTTTCCTCTAATAATTTTCGAATGTTTTCTTACAATAAAAGCTGCTGATCTATGAGGACTATCTGGTTTTCTTATTACTCCTAATTTTATAAATTCTTCTATATGCATTTTAAAGTCTTCAATATCATTATTTGTAGCTTTTAT